GCCAACAGCAGGGTTCCTGCCTCACCCCTGGAGGAGGGTCTTGTTCCCCCAGCCTCTTAGCCCATCTGTCATGTCTGAGTATTACAATGACACATCAGCAAAAAGACCCCAATCCAGAGGCTCAGGGAAGCCAGTTGCAAACATCAGGACTCCCCCCTCCCCCATCAAACACTGACTCCCGCGAGCGTGGTGGGCAGTGACGGGGCAGCCTCCAGCAGTCATTCAGTGGCGCGTGAGGAGCAGAGAAGGGACAGGAGGCGGGAGGCTGCAGACCCCTGGGGCCAACCCAAAACTGCGGGGTCTCTGAAGTGAAAGGCTTTGAGCCAGGAAAGACGGGACCGGGGCCTGGGTCTGGTTCCCAGGAGCCAGGAGTGTCGGCGGAAATCCTGGGGAGGGAAAGCTCTGACCCCGGCCGGCTACCGGCGGGGCAGGTAACCGACTTCTGGATCGGGTGGGCCAGCGAGCAGAGCACCAGGCACCTGGGCCCCTCCTCCAGGGCTGCCAGTCGGGGCTTGGGCATTTAGCCGTGCCCGCAGTCTCCTCCCTACCGGTGAGCTGAGTGGCTTCTCCCTCTCTGCCCCTCCCCTCCACCCTCTGGCCTGCGATTCGGAATTTTTCTCTGATCAATGCCAAGGGGTTCAACTTCCTGTATTTCTGTGACCCTGGGTCAGGATGTAACAAGCACTTCTCAGTTCAGGTCACAGTCAGACACTGCCAGCCGCTGGGTTCCTGGGTGAGGTTTAACGAGTGGCCTTTTTCCCCTGCCCTGCCCAGCCGGACTGGCCAGACTGGGGCTGTTCGGTCCTCTGAGGCGTTGGGCAGGTGGGTGAGCAGCCACTGCCATCTCTGTCCACTCCTGAGCCGTGGGGGAGCGGAGGCCTTTGTCCCTCGGGGGCTCTGCTCTGCACGGGCGGGGCGTGCCAGGCCAGCGTGGCCAGGGGGTGCAGCCTGTAAGGACGTGACGGTGCCCCCCGGGGAGCCTTTGCTCACTGGAGCTAGAGACCGGACTCCGTGTTCCGCGGGACTCAGTTTACCCACCAGCCCTGTGCGTCGCGTGCCCCTCTGGCGTCTCCTGAGCTTTCCCTGTGAGAGGGTTCACGCAGCACGCCCCGCGGGGCCGGGCGGGTGCAGGAGACGTGGCTGTGCCGTCACTCGGTGCTGCGCGGTGTGGGAGGCACGCGAGCTCATGGCGAGCCCCAGTCCCCGAGGCGTGTGCACAGTGTGCCCACCAGGGCAGGTCAGAAAGTGAGTGAACTGGAAGCTAAGTTTTACTGAGGCCGCGTCTATGCAGGTCTTTCCGAAGTGGGTGGAAGTGGGTGTGAGGACACTGGCGGGCAGGAAGGTGCTGAGCCCCTCGCCTTAGGTTCCTCAGCGGGGTCAGGTTGGCGCCTGGAACCACAGCGGGGCTGCATCGGGAGCCAGGGTTTGCTGCTGGTGACTCTGCGATGGAACTGGGCTGTGTAGGGAGGCCCGCCATGGCTCAGCCGTCCGTCCGGAGAGGCAGCTCAGGCAGATCACGGCCTGTGAGCCCCCGCAGCGCAAGGGCGTCCTCGGTCCCGGACCCCGGAGTTTCCAGCAGACCGGGGCTGGACGCTGGTGGGCGGCGCAGACAGCAACCCCTCGGTTCTCCAAGAACGGGAGAAAGCTGGTGACGGATCAGGCAGCAGCGCGGCCGGAAGTGCCCCAGCCGGAAGTGCCCCGAACCGGAAGTGCCCCAGCCGGAAGTGCCCTGTGCGCCCATGGCCGCCCTGAACCCAGTCCTGCTGAGTGGCACACGCGAGTAGAGCTGCTGCCATCGGCTCTTCTGAGGGCTTGTTCCGTCTGGCACCATGTCGGCTTTCTCAAGCCTTCCGCAGCCTTGGCGGAATAGCCGCCCGGGCCGCACAGCCCCAGGAAGGGCCCGGGTTGGGAGGGTCCCCCTGCGGGGGCGCCGGCCTCTCCTGTGCGGGCCGGCCGAGATGTGCGGAAGCCTGAGGCGAAGCCCTCGGGATTTGCCAGGAAGGCACGGAGCCGCGTGCTGTGGCCGGGCCTGCTTCTCCTGGGATGCGTCAGCCGTGGCCGTGGTCCTGCTCTGATGGTTTCTGGAATGTTCTGGGCCGGCCGTCTCTTCAGTGCAGCGCGGGCGGCAGGCGGTGCGCTGCTCCTCAGCCCAGCCCGAGAGGAGGCGTGACTGTGCGGGCGCGGAAGCAGGCGTGGTGGGCCCCCGACGTGCACGTGGGGAGGAAGGAAGGGTCGCGCGTGGGGATCGTGAGGTGGGCGCGCACCCTGGGAGCCCGCGGCTATGTGCACCCCCCGTGCGCCCTGGGTTCTCTGCTGACCCTGGCGCCAGCGCCTTTCCCTCTCGCCCCCAGGGAGGTGGGGGATGCAGACGGGGCTCTCCCTGGCGTCAGATTTGGGAGGAGTCCCCGGGACAGGGGCCCCGGAAGTGTCCAGGGGAGTCCTGAGCCCTTACAGCACAGGAGGTGACGTTTTTTCCTCTTATCTGCCCAAATTTGTAAAAAGAAGGCAGAAGTGAACGCTTTCAAATGACTTCAAAAATCTGTATTGTAAATGTATTTTTGGGAAAGATTTCTCTGGACCAAACATGGCAGTGTTCGGGAGCATTTGGGGGACTTGAGCAGCAAGTGTCTCTACCCCACTTTTCCGTATGTTTGGGTCGTTTTCCAAGGTCGCTCGCTCCCCACCCCCCATGAAGGAAAGTGTGTGCAGGGGTGATGGTGCTCAGGGTCAAGGTTCAATGCCGGACCACCCAGGAGGAGGGGACCGTGAGCCACAGCCTGCACAGCGCTCGGTGCAGGGTGTCAGGACCCCGTCAGTGGCGACCACGTGCACTCCCGCGCAGTCCCCAGGGGTCTGGCGTCCCCAGGCCTCCCGCTGGGTCCCCTGTGCTGGCTGAGTCCCCGTGCGCTCGGAGTCCGGAACCTCTGGTCTCCGTCGTGGTTTCTACAGGTGCAGAGCAGGCCCTGGGCCCTGCGCCTGGTCCCCCAGGACTGAGCTCACCGAGGCACAGCCCTCCGGGTCAGCACCTGTGTTCCTCTCAGAGTTGTGACTCCTTTGAGCACTGCTTTCACTGGCGGGTGTGGACAAGGCCACGCGGTCAGCCTAGACCCTCGTTGTCCCCAGTGAGGAAGCTCAGTGGACACAGACCCCTGGGTGAGCCATTAGGCTGATCAGCCCTTGGTGACACTTGTTGTGATCTAGACTGTGGCCTGCTGTGTCAGGTGGGGAGGGATGCCGGCTTCTACTTAGAGGTTGCGAATCTGTCCAGTGACTTCTGGGGAGCCCTCTGGCTCCTGGCCTGAGGATGGGAGAGCGGGAACTGCTGCTCACCCGAACACTTCAGTCGTGGGTGCTTCCGCCACGGACCCCTGAGACTGAGGGTCTCTCGAGCCCTGCTCCGTGCTGACCCTTCCCGGCGGGAGCAGGAGCCGCAGCTGCAGATCCTTCCTCAGCATCCCAGCAGCAGCCTGGGCCCTCAGCAGGTGGCTTGAGAAGAGGATGAAGGGGAGCGGCCACCAGGGCTCTCCAGGGAGCCGAGCCAGCGTCATCTGCAGTGGCACGTGTACGTGGCTCCTGGTGTGTGGCACTGCAGATCCCTGGACTCGGACGCCTCCCCCTTCTGAGACTGGGTGGGAAGCCGCTGCAGGGAGCTCCTGTGGTCAGGAGAAGGGGAGACGGAAGACTCTCCCAGCGTCCCCTCGTGTGGCATGAGCCATACCCTCCAGCCTGGCACCTCCCCCTAGCCCCGACCACAGCCCTGCCCAGTTGGATCCTTCTGGGAGGTGCCCGGCGCTCACTCCCCTTCCTGCTCGGACCTGTGCGTCGATGTGACCTGGGGCCAGCCTCTCGGGGGACCTGCCCGTGGCCTTCCTGCCCCAGGTTGGAGACCTGGGGTGGGTGAGGGGTTTGCAGCCTGCACCTGAGCTCTGTGTTGCCTGTGAAAGACTCTGGCTTTCCTGAGCGTGCTGGGTGCAGGTTGCACGGGCGCCGTGGACGAGGGCGCTGAGCTTGCTGGAGGGGGCACCTGGAACCCGGGGGCCCTTGAGAGATGGCTGACTGCCCGGATCTTCCCTCTTCATCCTGAAAGCTCCGTGTGGCTCTGCTTCGATTTGGTCTGCGTTCCTCTGTGGCCGACGCTGGGCTCTGGACCCGCTGAGTTACGGGCTCACGTAGTTGAGGCTCTGAAGTCTGACTCTTGGAGGCGGGTGGGGGAAGGTGTGCGGTGCAGCCCCCTGAGCTGCTCCGATGCAGTTCACCAGCAGTGCCGAGTGGCTTGCCGGCTCCCACGGCAGTCAGCGCCGGGGACGGTGGCATGACCAGCAGCGTGGTGGGTGTGCCCGGCGTTGTCCCTGGCGTGCTGCCTGCTGTTTCTCTGCACCTGTGATGTGCGGGCCTTCGTAGAGTCTGAGCGCTCTGGGGGAGAACAGCACACAGCACTCACTCTGGGCTGACATTTCTGTTCCCTGCCGTGTGCCGGGGAAACCCACCTGAGCAGCCGTGTGACCTCATCAGGTGTCCGCACGCCTGTGGGCCCAGTTTCCTCCCTCCCTCATTCAAGGCACCCCCCCCCCCCCCGTAGCCATTTTTCCCTGGCCGAGGTTGTCAGATCCACTGTTGCTTTTTCTCTTTCGAGTGGGCCTGCCCAGTGCATTTGCCCTGACGCTCAGCTGGAGTGAGCTGAAGGCCCGCACCTGGGAGGCCGGGTGAGCCTGGGTGGCCCAGGCTTGGGGAGGGCGCAGGTCTCCCCGTCAGTGCAGACGTGCGCTGTGCAGGGACAGGTGTGTGTTCAGATGGACAACGCGGAAGGGGAGCTTACTGTGTGCAGATGCTGAGGCCCGGTGCTGACCACGTGCTTCCTCCCACAGTGTGCAGGGGAAGAGAACTGGGTGGATAGCCGGACCATCTACGTGGGACACAGGGAGCCCCCTCCCGGTGCCGAGGCCTACATCCCACAGAGATACCCGGACAACAGGATCGTGTCCTCCAAGGTGAGTGGCCTCTTGGTCTGAGTGTCTATCACTCACCTAGAGAAACCGCCCTGGAGGGTGTCGGTCCTCCAGGGAGCGCCAGCCAGCCTGCACTGCACACTGCTCTGCTCCCAGCTCAGGCCTGGGGAGTAGGTCTCTAGGGGGAGCCTAGAGCCGTAGAGCTGTATGGTAGATGGTGCCCTGGGTGTAGACACGTGTGGTAGATTGCTGGTTTCACCATGGTGTCTGGGGTGTAGACACGTGTGGTAGATTGCTGGTTTCACCGTGGTGTCCTGGGTGTAGACACGTGTGGTAGATTGCTGGTTTCACCATGGTGTCCGGGGTGTAGACAAGTGTGGTAGATTGCTGGTTTCACCATGGTGCCCTGGGTGTAGACACATGTGGTAGATTGCTGGTTTCACCGTGGTGTCCTGGGTGTAGACACATGTGGTAGATTGCTGGTTTCACCATGGTGTCCCGGGTGTAGACACGTGTGGTAGATTGCTGGTTTCACCATGGTGTCCCGGGTGTAGACACGTGTGGTAGATTGCTGGTTTCACCATGGTGTCCTGGGTGTAGACATGTGTGGTAGATTGCTGGTTTCACCATGGTGTCCCGGGTGTAGACAGGTGTGGTAGATTGCTGGTTTCACCGTGGTGTCCTGGGTGTAGACAGGTGTGGTAGATTGCTGGTTTCACCATGGTGTCCCGGGTGTAGACACGTGTGGTAGATTGCTGGTTTCACCATGGTGTCCCGGGTGTAGACAGGTGTAATCTGATTTCACTCGTGATTGGGCCAGCATTGTGACGCAGCAGGGTAAGCTGCCTCTTGCGATGCCCGCATCCCCTATCAGAGTCAGGGTTAGAGTCCCAGCCACTGTTCCTGTCCGGCTTCCTGCAGATACGCCCGGGACGGCAGCGGAGAATGGCTCAAGTTCTTGTACCCTTGCCACCCGTGTGGGAGATGGGTGGAGCTCTGACTGCTGGTTTCAGCCTGTGCCAGCCCTGGCCGTGGCCAGCATCTGGGGAGTGAACCAGAGATGGAAGATCTGTCTGTCTGTCTATCAGTCTCCCTCCCTCCCTCCCTCCCTCCCTCCCTCCCTCCCTCCCTCCCCGCCTTTTAAATGAATGAATCTTTAAGAGAAAAAGCAGCACAGCACTGGTAAATACAGCATCAAAAGCAAGACCCCGACCCGGCATGTCGCGTGTGGACACCCAGAGCTGGCGAATCAGCGGAGAAAGGCCGTAGTGTGTAGCAGGACTCCTTGCGGGCAGCGTCACCCAACCCCCCCCCCCCCCCCCCCCCGCCGGGCCAGAATCAGATGCACTCCAAGTGTATGGCGTATGCCTTATGTGCAGCTCTGGGCAGCACGAACGTGTGGGGAAGCCAGGTGGGGGCAGGGGCAGGGTCCCTGGTCCTGGTGGTGGCCATGACGCTGCTCAGTGTCTGGTCAGGATGGACCGCGCCTACAGGGTGCCCGGAGCCCCAGCACTGGCCCCGTGCACTGGCAGCTGTCCACCAGGCACAGAGCTCCAGCGTGACAGTCCAAGCCACCGGTGCTTCCCAGTCTGGTAGGGAGTTCTGCACGGCGCACCTTGGGGAAGGCAGACTCCCTGAGTGACGGCATCATGGGTCTCTCCCGGCCCACCTGTAGCCGAGGGGCACTTCGCGTCTTTTCGAAGCCCCATCCATGGTTTTGGGGGAAGTAACTGAAAGCCGGGACTGCTTGTCTCTATCCTGACCCCTCCTGTGTCTGATGTCCAGCTGCAGAGTCAGGGTCTCTGAGAGGCCCAATGCCCCCCCCCACACACTCTGCTGGCCTCTGCAGGTCTTGGACAGGGCCTGGAAGCTCCACCCAGCACGGCCAAGGCATGGAGTTGAAGGAGAGAGGCCACACTCTGGGTTTTGGCAAAGCACTTGAAGGACTTTCGGCCTGGCCCTTGGGGTCCCCAACACTGCTGCTGTGCCGGTGCACACACTCCTGTGTGTGCGAACACTCCTGTGTGTGCAAACACTCTTGTGTGTGAGCACTCCTGTGTGCAAACAGTCGTGTGTGTGAGCACTCCTGTGTGAGCACTCCTGTGTGCGAGCACTCCTGTGTGTGCGAGTACTCCTGTGTGTGCAAACACTCCTGTGTGTGAGCACTCCTGTGTGCAAACACTCCTGTGTGTGAGCACTCCTGTGTGCGAGCACTCCTGTGTGTGTGAGCATTCCTGTGTGTGCAAACACTCCTGTGTGTGAGCACTCCTGTGTGCGAGCACTCCTGTGTGTGCGAGTACTCCTGTGTGTGCAAACACTCCTGTGTGTGAGCACTCCTGTGTGCAAACACTCCTGTGTGTGAGCACTCCTGTGTGCGAGCACTCCTGTGTGTGTGAGCATTCCTGTGTGTGCAAACACTCCTGTGTGTGAGCACTCCTGTGTGCAAGCACTCCTATGTGTGCAAACACTCCTGTGTGTGGAAGCACTCCTGTGTGCAAGCACTCCTATGTGTGCAAACACTCCTGTGTGTGGAAGCACTCCTGTGTGCAAACACTCCTGTGTGTGAGCACTCCTGTGTGTGCGAGCACTCCTGCGTGTGAGCACTCCTGTGTGTACACCCCTGTGCATGGGCAAACACTCCTGTGTGCAAGCACTCCTGTGTGCGAGCACTCCTGTGTGTGTGAGCATTCCTGTGTGTGCAAACACTCCTGTGTGTGAGCACTCCTGTGTGCAAGCACTCCTATGTGTGCAAACACTGCTGTGTGTGGAAGCACTCCTGTGTGCAAACACTCCTGTGTGTGAGCACTCCTGTGTGTGCGAGCACTCCTGCGTGTGAGCACTCCTGTGTGTACACCCCTGTGCATGGGCAAACACTCCTGTGTGCAAACACTCCTGTGTGCAAACACTCCTGTGTGCGAGCACTCCTGTGTGTGCAAAGACTCCTGTGTGCGAGCACTCCTGTGTGTGCAATCACTCCTGTGTGCGAGCACTCCTGTGTGTGAGCACTTGTGTGTGTGCGAGCACTCCTGTGTGCAAACACTCCTGTGTGTGAGCACTCCTGTATGTGCAGTCACTCCTGTGCGAGCACTCCTGTGTGCGAGCACTCCTGTGTGTGCTATCACTCCTGTGTGTGAGCACTCCTGTGTATGAGTACTCCTGTGTGTGAGCACTCCTGTGTGTGCAAGCACTCCTGTGTGCAAACACTCCTGTGCATGCATACACTCCTGTGCATGAGCACTCCTATGTGCAAGCACTCCTGTGTGTGCGAGCACTCCTGTGTCCAAACACTCCTGTGTCCAAACACTCCTGTGTGTGAGCACTCCTGTGTGTGCGAGCACTCCTGTGTGTGAGCACTCCTGTGTGCAAACACTCCTGTGTGCGAGCACTCCTGCGTGCAAACACTCCTGCGTGCGAGCACTCCTGTGTGTGAGCACTCCTGTGTGTGCAAACACTCCTGTGTGTGAGCACTCCTCTTTGCAAACACTCCTGTGTGTGCAAACACTCCTGTGTATGAGCACTCCTGTGTGTGAGCACTCCTGTGTGTGCAAGCACTCCTGCGCTGTGTGAACACTAACATTCCTCTGCACTTGCAAACACTCCTTGTGTGTACACTCCTGTGCATGGGTAAATACTCGTGTCTGTGCAAACACTCCTGCGAACACTTTGTGTGTACGCTTGTGTGTGTGCAAACATTCTTACTGTGTGAGAACACTCCTGTGCATAGGCAAACACTCTGTGCGTGTGGACACTCCTGTGTGTGCACTCCTGTGTGCAAACATTCCTATGTGTGCGAACACTCCTACATGTGCAAACACTCCTCTGTATGAACAGTTCTATGCTTGCCAGTGCCCCTGCTCAGAGTATACAAATTTTTGTTTTTGTGCATACAATCCTGTGTGGGAACACTCCTCTGTGTGAATACTCCTGTGTGCTCACCAGTGCTTATGTGTCTGCAAACACTTCTGCGCCTGTGTGAACACTTGCACTATGCTTGTGGACACAATCGTGTGCATGAACACTGTGTGCAAACACTCCTGTGTATGTGTGAACTCTCCTTGGTGTGTGCAAACACTCTTCTGTGTGAGCACTCCTGTGTGCTCACCAACATTCCTGTGAGTGTGCAAACTCCTGTGAGTGTGCATTGGCTGGCGCCGCGGCTCACTAGGCTCATCCTCCGCCTGCAGCGCCGGCACACCGGGTTCTAGTCCCGGTCGGGGCGCTGGGTTCTGTCCCGGTTGCTCCTCTTCCAGTATAGCTCTCTGCTGTGGCCAGGGAGTGCAGTGGAGGATGGCCCAAGTGCTTGGGCCCTGCACCCCATGGGAGACCAGGAGAAGCACCTGGCTCCTGGCTTTGGATCAGTGCGGTGCGCAGGCCGTAGCAGCCATTTGGGGGATGAACCAACGGAAGGAAGACCTCTCTCTCTGTCTCTCTCTCTGTCTCTCTCTCTCTCTAACTCTGCCTGTCAAAACACACACACACACACACACCTGTGCATGTGCACACAATCCTGTGTGTGAATACGTGTGTGTGTGTGTGTGTGGAGCAGGTTAAGAGCTGTGGCTTGGTTTCAGGGAGACAGCAGAAGGGAACTTCCTTCCACATCCGGGAAGGAAAGACCCCTGGGAGGCCCCTGCTGGGGCGGCGCTGGTCTCAGGGAAGGGAAGTGGGGTCAGCGGAATCCCAGGGCAGCAAGGGAGGGCAGGCGCGCAGGTGCTGCTTGGTTCTTTGTTTTTAAACAATGGCTCAGGATGTGTGGAAGTGCCATGTCGTCTGTAAAACAAGTTCACACCACGATTTTGGAGAGAGTGTGTGCTAATGTGTGTTTGCTCTCTTGAGGAAAAAGTCTTTTATGTCTACTTGGAAAAAAGACTAGTTAAGGAAAGACTACTAGTAAAGACCACTGGTTAGCCCTGAAGGCCCCCAAGGCTGTACTCAGCAGATTCCCTTTTGTGGAGTCAGGGGCTGGCGCTGGCAGGGATGCCCGTCGGTTATTGGACGTTCCCAGTCCGTCCTGCGGGAGTGCGGTTACTGCCACTGGGCACAGTCGGTGGAGGAAGGAAGGACGCCCTGCGTGGCGACTCCCAGCGTGGCCGCCCAGCGTGAGCAGGGAGGACACGGCCCCCGGCACAGCCCCCGGCCCTACACGGGATTCTGCCGCAGCACCTGGAGTTCATCGCCGGGGGCCCCCAGCACAGCCCCCAGCCCTACACGGGATTCTGCCGCAGCGCCTGGAGTTCATGTGATTTCCAGCGTCTCCCTCGGCAGGGGAGGCTGCAAAATCAAACGTCAGCCTCGTCCACGCTGGCACCACGCCACACCCTCAAGAAAGACAAAGGACTTGTTTTGTCTAAGATCTTATTTATTTGAGAGGTAGAGTTACAAAGCGAGGGGGGCAGAGAGACAGAGACAGAGAGAGGGAGAGAGAGGGAGGGAGGGAGGGAGGGAGGGAGGGAGGGAGGTCTTCCATCCGCTGGCTCACTCCCCAAGTGGCTGCAGTGAGCAGAGCTGAGCCGATCTGAAGCCAGGAGCCAGGAGGACTTGAGCCATCTTCTGCTGCTTTCTCTGGTGCATTAGCGGAGAGCTGGATCAGAAGAGGAGCAACCGGGACATGAACCGGTGCCCGCGTGGGATGCTGGTGCTGCTGGCGGAGGCTTAGCCCGCTACACCACAGCACTGGCCCCACAAGTGACTTCTTCAAAGTTGCTGTGATTATTTTTTTGAGAGGCAGGCAGAGACTTTCAATCTGCTATTCACTCTGCAAATGTCTGCAACAGCTGGGGCTGGGCCACGCTGAAGCCAGGAGCCAGACTTCCATCCAGGTTTCCCGTGAGTGACAGTTACCTCAGTATTTGTACTGTCACATGCTGCCCCCCGCCCCGGCCGGGTGCATATAGCAGGAGGCTGGAGTTGGGAGCAAAGCGAGGACTTGAGCCCAGGCACGCTGACATGGGTGTGGCTGTCACAGCAGTGTCTTCAGCACTGTGCCACGCACCCCAGAGTTAGTTTTGATTCTTGGGAGTGGAAGGCTGTTTCACTGCCGAGTGCCGTGTCATCTGCACTCTGAACCCCACCGTCGCTTTTTCTCATGGGCCCCACCTGTCACGAAGGAGCTGCGGCTCGGACACAGGAGCGTGCCCGCGACAGCACAGGCAGGAACGCTGGTCCCAGCACGAGGTCTGCACGAGCCGAAGGCCCTCCTCTGCAGCCGGCGCCGCCGCTGTCACCACCCCGTGAAGCTGGCTCAGCGCCTAACAGCAGGAATCCAGCGTGTTGGCCTGATTCCCTGCTTCTCACTTCATAAATGAGGGACAACTCCCCTGAGTCGATGGAGTCCCACGCAGGTCAGCGTCCAGGTGGCAGCCAGGGTCCAGGACGGTCACGAGCGTCCCCGTGGGGCCGGATCTGTTGTTGAGTAAGGAAGCTGTGGCTTCAGGGCGGTCAGGTGCCATTGGAAAGAAGGGCACCCAGGTTTCACTCGCGGTTTGTCTGGGGCCACAAGACCCACGGCCCCAGGTGAACCTGGCAGAGGTCTGTGAGCCCCAGCTACCATAACAGGTTAGGAGCCCGCCAGGGGAGGCATAGGAGGCGGTGAGGCATCTCACCCCGGTCAGAAACACGGAGGATGCCCACGGGCCGGCCTGAGCATTCTATAAGGTAAAGAATCCAGGAAGTTGCGATTCTCACGTAAGTCAGCCATCCTCAGAGTCCTGGAGAGAGCGGGCGTTCTGCTGGGTTCCCACGTGCAGACCGCAGAAAATGCACTTCATTCAAGGCTCGGGCGTTGATGCCCTGTATCCAGGATCAGGCGTCTCTGCTAACTGCAGATAAAGGGATTGGAACCTGAGTGAGGTCCATGTGCGCTGTGTCAGGGAGCTGGATCCTGGGTGAGGTGAGTGTGCACTGTGTCAGGGAGCTGGATCCTGGGTGAGGTGAGTGTGCACTGTGTCAGGGAGCTGGATCCTGGGTGAGGTGAGTGTGCGCTGTGTCAGGGAGCTGGATCCTGGGTGAGGTGAGGTGAGTGTGCGCTGTGTCAGGGAGCTGGATCCTGGGTGAGGTGAGGTGAGTGTGTGCTGTGTCAGGGAGCTGGATCCTGGGTGAGGTGAGTGTGCACTGTGTCAGGGAGCTGGATCCTGGGTGAGGTGAGTGTGTGCTGTGTCAGGGAGCTGGATCCTGGGTGAGGTGAGTGTGTGCTGTGTCAGGGAGCTGGATCCTGGGTGTGTGAGTGTGCACTGTGTCAGGGAGCTGGATCCTGGGTGAGGTCCGTGTGCACTGTGTCAGGGAGCTGGATCCTGGGTGAGGTGAGTGTGTGCTGTGTCAGGGAGCTGGATCCTGGGTGAGGTGAGTGTGCGCTGTGTCAGGGAGCTGGATCCTGGGTGAGGTGCGTGTGCGCTGTGTCAGGGAGCTGGATCCTGGGTGAGGTGAGTGTGCGCTGTGTCGGGAGCTGGATCCTGGGTGAGGTGAGGTGAGTGTGCACTGTGTCAGGGAACTGGATCCTGGGTGAGGTGAGTGTGCGCTGTGTCAGGGAGCTGGATCCTGGGTGAGGTGAGGTGAGTGTGCGCTGTGTCGGGAGCTGGATCCTGGGTGAGGTGAGGTGTGTGCTGTGTCAGGGAGCTGGATCCTGGGTGAGGTGAGGTGAGTGTGTGCTGTGTCAGGGAGCTGGATCCTGGGTGAGGTGAGTGTGCGCTGTGTCAGGGAGCTGGGTCCTGGGTGAGGTGAGTGTGCACTGTGTTGGGGAGCTGGATCCTGGGTGAGGTGAGTGTGCGCTGTGTCAGGGAGCTGGGTCCTGGGTGAGGTGAGTGTGCACTGTGTCAGGGAGCTGGATCCTGGGTGAGGTGAGTGTGCACCGGTCAGGGAGCTGGATCCTGGGTGAGGTGAGTGTGCGCTGTGTCAGGGAGCTGGATCCTGGGTGAGGTGAGGTGAGTGTGCGCTGTGTCAGGGAGCTGGATCCTGGGTGAGGTGAGGTGAGTGTGCGCTGTGTCGGGAGCTGGATCCTGGGTGAGGTGAGTGTGCGCTGTGTCAGGGAGCTGGATCCTGGGTGAGGTGAGTGTGCACTGTGTCAGGGAGCTGGATCCTGGGTGAGGTGAGTGTGTGCTGTGTCAGGGAGCTGGATCCTGGGTGAGGTGAGGTGAGTGTGCGCTGTGTCAGGGAGCTGGATCCTGGGTGAGGTGAGTGTGCGCTGTGTCAGGGAGCTGGATCCTGGGTGAGGTGAGTGTGCGCTGTGTCAGGGAGCTGGATCCTGGGTGAGGTGAGGTGAGTGTGCACTGTGTCAGGGAGCTGGATCCTGGGTGAGGTGAGTGTGCGCTGTGTCAGGGAGCTGGATCCTGGGTGAGGTGAGGTGAGTGTGCGCTGTGTCGGGAGCTGGATCCTGGGTGAGGTGAGGTGAGTGTGCACTGTGTCAGGGAACTGGATCCTGGGTGAGGTGAGTGTGCACTGTGTCAGGGAGCTGGATCCTGGGTGAGGTGAGTGTGCGCTGTGTCAGGGAGCTGGATCCTGGGTGAGGTGAGGTGAGTGTGTGCTGTGTCAGGGAGCTGGATCCTGGGTGAGGTGAGTGTGTGCTGTGTCAGGGAGCTGGGTCCTGGGTGAGGTGAGTGTGTGCTGTGTCAGGGAGCTGGGTCCTGGGTGAGGTGAGTGTGCGCTGTGTCAGGGAGCTGGGTCCTGGGTGAGGTGAGTGTGCACTGTGTTGGGGAGCTGGATCCTGGGTGAGGTGAGTGTGCGCTGTGTCAGGGAGCTGGGTCCTGGGTGAGGTGAGTGTGCACTGTGTCAGGGAGCTGGATCCGGGTGAGGTGAGGTGAGTGTGTGCTGTGTCAGGGAGCTGGATCCTGGGTGAGGTGAGTGTGTGCTGTGTCAGGGAGCTGGATCCTGGGTGAGGTGCGTGTGCGCTGTGTCAGGGAGCTGGATCCTGGGTGAGGTGCGTGTGCACTGTGTCAGGGAGCTGGATCCTGGGTGAGGTGAGGTGAGGTGAGTGTGCGCTGTGTCAGGGAGCTGGATCCTGGGTGAGGTGAGTGTGCGCTGTGTCAGGGAGCTGGATCCTGGGTGAGGTGAGTGTGCGCTGTGTCAGGGAGCTGGATCCTGGGTGAGGTGAGTGTGCGCTGTGTCAGGGAGCTGGATCCTGGGTGAGGTGAGTGTGCGCTGTGTCAGGGAGCTGGATCCTGGGTGAGGTGAGTGTGCACTGTGTCAGGGAGCTGGATCCTGGGTGAGGTGAGTGTGCGCTGTGTCAGGGAGCTGGATCCTGGGTGAGGTGAGGTGAGTGTGTGCTGTGTCGGGGAGCTGGATCCTGGGTGAGGTGAGTGTGCGCTGTGTCAGGGAGCTGGATCCTGGGTGAGGTGAGGTGAGTGTGCGCTGTGTCAGGGAGCTGGATCCTGGGTGAGGTGAGTGTGCACTGTGTCAGGGAGCTGGATCCTGGGTGAGGTGAGTGTGTGCTGTGTCAGGGAGCTGGATCCTGGGTGAGGTGAGTGTGCGCTGTGTCGGGAGCTGGATCCTGGGTGAGGGTGAGGTGAGTGTGTGCTGTGTCAGGGAGCTGGATCCTGGGTGAAGGTGAGTGTGTGCTGGTGTCAGGGAGCTGGATCCTGGTGAGGTGAGGTGAGTGTGCGCTGTGTCAGGGAGCTGGATCCTGGGTGAGGTGAGGTGAGTGTGCGCTGTGTCGGGAGCTGGATCCTGGGTGAGGTGAGGTGAGTGTGTGCTGTGTCAGGGAGTCTGGATCCTGGGTGAGGTGAGTGTGCGCTGTGTCAGGGAGCTGGGTCCTGGGTGAGGTGAGTGTGCACTGTGTCAGGGAGCTGGATCCTGGGTGAGGTGAGTGTGTGCTGTGTCAGGGAGCTGGATCCTGGGTGAGGTGAGTGTGCGCTGTGTCAGGGAGCCTGGGTCCTGGGTGGGTGAGTGTGCGACTGTGTCAGGCGCTGGATCCTGGGTGAGGGAGGTGAGTGTGCCTGTGTCAGGAGCTGGATCCTGGGGTGAGGTGAGTGGCACTGTGTCAGGGAGCTGGATCTGGGTGAGGTGAGTGTGGCTGTGTCAGGGAGCTGGATCTGGGTGAGGTGGGTGAGTGTGCGCTGTGTCAGGGAGCGGATCCTGGGTGAGGTGAGGTGAGTGTGCACTGTGTCCGGGAGCTGGATCCTGGGTGAGTGAGGTGATGTGTGCGCTGTGTCAGGGAGCTGGATCCTGTGTGAGGTGGAGTGTGCGCTGTGTCCAGGGAGCTGGATCCTGGTGTGAGGTGAGGTGTGCGCTGTGCAGGAGTGGATCTGGGTGCATGGTGAGGTGAGTGTGCGCTGGTCGGGAGCTGGATCCTGGGTGAGGTGAGGTGCAGTGTGCGCTGTGTCAGGGAGCTGGATCCTGGGTGAGGTGAGGTGAGTGTGCGCTGTGTCAGGGAGCTGGATCCTGGGTGAGGTGAGTGGTGTGGCTGTGTCAGGGAGCTGGATCCTGGGTGAGGTGAGTGTGCGCTGTGTCAGGGAGCTGGATCCTGGTGAGGTGAGGTGAGTGTGCGCTGTGTCAGGGAGCTGGATCCTGGGTGAGGTGAGTGTGCACTGTGTCAGGGAGCTGGATCCTGGGTGAGGTGAGTGGTGCTGTGTCAGGGAGCTGGATCCTGGGTGAGGTGAGGTGAGTGTGCCTGTGTTCAGGGAGCTGGATCCTGGGTGAGGTGAGGTGAGTGTGCGCTGTGTCGGGAGCTGGATCCTGGGTGAGGTGAGGTGAGTAGTGTGCTGTGTCAGGGAGCTGGATCCTGGGTGAGGTGAGGTAGTGTGCGCTGTGTCAGGGAGCTGGATCCTGGGTGAGGGTGAGTGTGCGCTGTGTCAGGGAGCTGGATCCTGGGGTGAGGTGAGTGTGCGCTGTGTCAGGGAGCGGTGGATCCTGGGTGAGGTGAGTGTGCACTGTGTCAGGGAGCTGGATCCTGGGTGAGGTGAGTGTGTGCTGTGTCAGGGAGCTGGGTCCTGGGTGAGGTGAGTGTGCGCTGTGTCGGGGAGCTGGGTCCTGGGTGAGGTGAGTGTGCACTGTGTTGGGGAGCTGGATCCTGGGTGAGGTGAGTGTGCGCTGTGTCAGGGAGCTGGGTCCTGGGTGAGGTGAGTGTGCACTGTGTCAGGGAGCTGGATCCTGGGTGAGGTGAGTGTGCACCGGTCAGGGAGCTGGATCCTGGGTGAGGTGAGTGTGCGCTGTGTCAGGGAGCTGGATCCTGGGTGAGGTGAGTGTGCGCTGTGTCAGGGAGCTGGATCCTGGGTGAGGTGAGTGTGCACTGTGTCAGGGAGCTGGATCCTGGGTGAGGTGAGTGTGCGCTGTGTCAGGGAGCTGGATCCTGGGTGAGGTGAGGTGAGTGTGCACTGTGTCAGGGAGCTGGATCCTGGGTGAGGTGAGGTGAGTGTGTGCTGTGTCAGGGAGCTGGATCCTGGGTGAGGTGAGTGTGCACTGTGTCAGGGAGCTAGGTCCTGGGTGAGGTGAGTGTGTGCTGTGTCGGGGAGCTGGATCCTGGGTGAGGTGAGTGTGCGCTGTGTCAGGGAGCTGGATCCTGGGTGAGGTGAGGTGAGTGTGCGCTGTGTCAGGGAGCTGGATCCTGGGTGAGGTGAGTGTGCACTGTGTCAGGGAGCTGGATCCTGGGTGAGGTGAGTGTGCGCTGTGTCAGGGAGCTGGATCCTGGGTGAGGTGAGTGTGCGCTGTGTCAGGGAGCTGGATCCTGGGTGAGGTGAGTGTGCGCTGTGTCGGGAGCTGGATCCTGGGTGAGGTGAGGTGAGTGTGCACTGTGTTGGGGAGCTGGATCCTGGGTGAGGTGAGTGTGCGCTGTGTCAGGGAGCTGGGTCCTGGGTGAGGTGAGTGTGCGCTGTGTCAGGGAGCTGGATCCTGGGTGAGGTGAGTGTGCACCGGTCAGGGAGCTGGATCCTGGGTGAGGTGAGTGTGCGCTGTGTCAGGGAGCTGGGTCCTGGGTGAGGTGAGTGTGCACTGTGTCAGGGAGCTGGATCCTGGGTGAGGTGAGTGTGCACCGGTCAGGGAGCTGGATCCTGGGTGAGGTGAGTGTGTGCTGTGTCAGGGAGCTGGACCTGGGTGAGGTGAGTATGCGCTGTGTCAGGGAGCTGGATCCTGGGTGAGGTCTGTGTGCACACACTTCACTGTGTGAGGTAGGGTCAGCCAGGTTACAGTTACCCGGAGTGTGTGCTGTGTTTTCTGGTCAGCCGTGTGTGTGTGTGTGCCTCACTAGAAGCTCATTTTGTTTGCTTTAGCGGCCAGTGCCTCACCCGAGTTCCGAGTGCTCGTTGGGTTTGGGTTCTAGGGCGCTGCCTCAGAAGTTCACCTCTGACAGCCTGGCTCACGTGAGTTACTGTGCGGAGCCGGGGCTCGCAGAGCAGAGTGGGTCTGGCTGCGTGGGCGTTCCCTCAGGGGCTTCCACCCGAAGCTTGCCAAGTGCCTGGCAGGAAGCAGGAGCGGCCTGGGAGGGGTGTTGGGGTGGAGCCAGGCCAGGCGTTTGTGCCGCCTCCTCGGGCAGGCAGCCTCAGACTGCATCAGGGGCGGCATGGGGAAGGCTGCACTTGTCACTCGTGTTGTCACAGTTCGCCCGAAGGGACCTTCCCCAGCCACTCCGAGAGCAGCATCGTCAGTGTCTGCAGCCGACCCCTCCCGGCCAGGGCTCCCACGCCCGTCGCTGCCCCTTCCACCTTCTGAAGGAGGCTCTCACTTGTAGACATTCCAGTTGATAGAACCCAGGGCTTTAAAGTGTTTGCATCTCTTTTCATTTAAAAGGCAGAGACAGACATAGAGAGATCTCCCTTCTACTGGCTCATTCCCCAGTGCCTGCGCCAGCCAGGCTGGACCTGGGACTCAGGCTGGTTGTGGTGCAGGACCCGAGTACTCGTGCTCACTTGCTGCCTCCAGGGCGCACGGTGGCAGGGAGCTGGACGTGGAGTGGCCAGGGCCTGCGCTCCGGCACTCGGATGTGGTGTCCCAGGCTGGACCAGTCCCGCCCTGAAAGACGGAATCTTGAGTAGAATTTGGCGCTGATGTGCCTTTGCTGCGGAGTGACATCTTACAGGACTTTGGGGATTTTTGGGTTAACTGGTGGGTGATGAATACATGGGCCTGGGTGCTGGGGATAGGTTGGCTTTCTTGGGCGGGGCCCTAGCCCTGGTACCACTTGGGAGTTGGTGTTTTCTAGAGAAGAAATGGGTGAGGAATGAAGGATCTTTCTGTGCTGGCCACAGACACAGGAGACACACGTGCCACGGTTACGTAATAACTTTGATATTTCCTTCATAGCTCCTTTGAAAAGTCAGTGGAAAGTCACTTTCTCATTAAACCCATTGAAGAGACAAGATCTTCCCTCAGATTTACAGAAAAGCCACATTCACACCCAGCGGGCAGTCAGGGCTGTGCCAGGCTTGTGCCAGGCGTCCGCGGTCAGTGTTCCTGGCACTTCTCCGCGTGAGTGGGAGCATGAGGACTAGGCCAGCGGCAGCCTCAGCCCTGCGGGGACCCTGAGGCTCGCATCGGGGACAACTGTGGACGGACCAGAAGACCCAGGACAGGCTTGTGGAGCGCTTGCCCGGGGCTCGGCCCCTGCCCACAGCCGCAGGCAAAGTCGGCCTCCAGGCTCAGCTTCCACTGCAGGTTAACGGCACCTGGACAGTGGTGTCGCTCACACCCCTGAGGAGGGGGTCCCTGAGACAGCCCCTCCTCTCCTGTCCTGCCAGGACTGCAGACAGGCTTGCAGCCCCGCAGTCACAGACAAGGGAAACCACGAGGACGCTGCTGGCCGTGCGGTCGTAGGCTGTGGCTTACGAAAGCCGTGTGCGTGGTGAGACAGCTGCTGGGCTGCTCTGCATTTTACCCTGAGTTCCACGCCAGGTGTGGGAGCACACATTCAGTCTCTGTGGTGGTCAAGAAACACTCCAGGGCCGGCACTGTGGCATAATGGGTAAAGCCACCACCTTCAGTGTCGGCATCCCATACGGGCACCAGTTTGAGACCTGGATGCTCCATTTCTGATCCAGCTCTCTGCTATGCCCTGGAAAGCAGTGGAAGATGGCCCAAGTCCTTGGGCCCCTGCACCCGCGTGGGAGACCTGGAAGAAGCTCTTGGTTCCTGGCTTCAGATCCGGCCATCGCAGCCATTTGTGGAGAGAACCACAAGATGGAGGACTTCTATCTGTTTGTCTTTGCTTCTGCCTCTGCCTTTCTGTAACTCTGCCTTTCAAATAAATAAATAAATCTTAAAAAAACGACCAATTTTGAACAATGAGTTTTATGCCTAAAATGAAACCTTTACGTTAAAAGCACTAAACTGTGCTTGGAGATCCAGTGCTACATGTAGCCCCAGGAAGGCAAATCTGACGAAATGGTGTGTTCTTGTCCTCTTTCCTGCAGTATACGTTTTGGAACTTCATACCCAAGAACCTGTTTGAGCAATTCAGAAGAATCGCCAACTTCTATTTTCTTATCATATTTCTGGTGCAGGTAAGGCTGATGGTGGTCATCACTGGCTGACGTAAATCTGCATAGGGGACGCGTCCGTCTCGGTGATTGACGTACGGCTCGCTCATAAACAGGCGCAGGCCCGGTGCCCTGCCCACGTCCGTTCCTTTCTTTTCAAGGACAGAGTGCGTCTGCTCTGAGGCCTCTGAGGCGGAGACACGTGGGAGGGCTCTGTGGGCGTGTGGTGGGGACCCCGGGCCTTGGCAAGCAGTGGGGATGCTGAGCCCTGCGTCTGAACAGAGACGCAGCAGGGAGTGAGCTGGCAGCGGCGTGCCAGCCGTGCTGGAGGACTGCTCACACTCCCCAGTGTGCAGCCGTCCCGTAGCGTAAACCGTGCCGCCAGACGCAGAGGGAGCAGTGAAGCAGAATGCGGCCATCGGACATGTGTCTCTGCTGTTTGCCGCCCAGTTTCTGCAAGCACGGCTCAGTTATAGGACCGTGCCCGCGGCGTGGTGGTGGGCAGGGCGGCAGGATGTGCCGCCCACCTGCCCACCACCCGTGCGGGGCTACAGTGGGCGACCAGCACCGTGGCTTAAGATGGGAAGAGCCGGTGCCGGCGGGGGCGGCCCGCCCACCTCAGGTCCTCCCAGGTGGTGCTGAGGATGCTCCCTTTCACCTGCAGCTCATCATCGACACGCCCACCAGTCCCGTGACCAGCGGGCTGCCCCTCTTCTTTGTCATCACCGTCACAGCCATCAAGCAGGTAAGGGGTTGCAGATGGGAGGGAGCGACGTCGTCAGCTTCGCTGGGTGGTGCTGTCCTACCAAGCAGAGCCACTGGTCTGTTAGGTTAGCTTGCAGAGAACGCCCAGAAATCTGTGTTGGTAACGGTTTTGATCTGGAGTAAGAGCGGGCGGGTGTCGCGGTTGCTGGTCTGCCGTCCTCCGAATTTGAGCAGTAGTGGTGGTCCTCACACCCTGAGCCAGCCGAGGCCACGCCCCTCCCTGCGAGTCGCCGACCCCCGTGTCCTCGGCTGTGCGAGCCCAGATCCAGCTCCTTGCCGAGGTCTGGGATGGAGACCCTCTGGCAGCGTGCTGGCCCACCTGGTGCCCTGTGACATGGGCCATGAGCCAGGGACCACCGTGCAGAACGAGTCTCAGGTTCTCCCCACCTTCCACTTCTCCCAGGAGTGCTGCGGTCTCTCTGCTGTCTCCGTGCACAACGTCTTTATCACCCGATACAGAGACCCAGCACCCGAGTGGTCACTCCTCTTTCCCTCCCCGTCTGGCCCCGCGCACAGGCTGAGCCCTCTGCTCCTGTAGGTTCTCCTGCTGTGGTCACTTCGTGCGGGCAGAACCGCACAGCAGCTGGCTTTGGTGACCGGTGCCTTCACTCAGCGTGATGTCCCAGGTCAATCAGCACTGTGGCAGGTGTCCGTGCTGTGGCCTTCCTAAGCAAGGCGGTACCCATGTTTCCGTATCCATTCTTCTGCACCCAAACATTTGAGGTCATTCCCTTGATGTCTCTTGGGAGTGGCATCGCTTAGGGTATGTGTGTGTGGGTCTCGTGGGGATCGTGTTTAGGAGTAGACAGATGCTGTGTCCACACGTGGGAGTGGACTAGCTCCAGTGTTCTGAGGGCCTGCCTGGTGCCGTGTGACGTGGGGTGCATGGTGCTGTGCTTCTCCGTTCTCCAGTCTGTCACAGCGTCTGTGTCCGCGTCCCTGGTGACAGTGTGCTGAGCCTCTCCTCCTCTGCCTGTTGCCCACCTGCTTCTCTGTCTTCCTTGAACTCTGCTCATTTTTCACTTGCATCTCTTGTTCTTTTATGCATTTGCTGTAAAAATTTTTCATACATTCTGGGTTCAAGTTCCTTATCTGCTGCCAACTTTTGGACTGGTGATATTTGCACATCAGTGGTTTTAGGTTGGCTTTTATTTGAGACATTGGAATAATTTGCAAAATGAAAACCTCTAATGTAACTCTTGATGGCCAGATTCTTTCCGGTAAGCTGTGCTTCTTTGACGCTGGTCTTCATAGAAACATCCGGAACATCCTGCACATGGCACTGAGTGCAGCCGCTTGGGGACACAGGCGGGGTGGGGACAGAAGGCAGACTGACTGCTGTGGAGTCGCCGAGGCTGCAGACCGGTCCCTGTGTGCCCAGCACAGGGCAGGGGTGGGCTTGCAGAGGGCTGCTGGCATCCTGCAGTCTAGTTAGTCTTCAGTGTGTCTGGATTCGTGCTTTTGAAACACAAGGCTGTGGGAAGCATTGAAGAGTTACTTACTGTTGGTTTTGAGTTTTATTTCTCACTTCTGTTCTGGAAGTGCAGATGGGAGCAACAGAGTGTGTGATCTGACACCATGCATTAGAGCAACAGAGTGTGTGATCTGACACCATGCATTAGAGCAACAGTGTGTGTGAACTGATGGCATAGTGTTGGGACAACAGCGTCACCTGAACCATAGCAGTGGGACGGCAGCATTACCGATCCGTGCATTAGGACAACAGTGTCACCTCATCCATAGCATTAGGACGATAGCATCACCCAATACCATGCAGTAGGACAACAGTGTCACCCAATGCTATTCATAAGGACAACAGCGTTACCCGTTACCATACAACAGGACAATAGTGTCACCCAGTACTATGCATTGGGACAACAGTGTCACCTGATCCATACGTTGGAAAAACAGCATCATTTGATTCCATAGCATTGGACAACAGTATCACCCGATACCATGCAATAGGCCAACAGTGTCGCCCAATACCATGCACTGGGACAATAGCGTCACCTGATTCCGTAGCATTGGGACAACAGTGTCACCTGATATGCATTAGGACAATAGCATCACTCAATACCATGCACTGGGACAACAGTGTCACCTGATATGCATTAGGACAACAGCGTCACCCAATACCATGCACTGGGACAACAGTGTCACCTGATATGCATTAGGACAACAGCGTCACCCAATACTATGCACTGGGACAACAGCGTCACCCAATACTATGCACTGGGACAACAGTGTCACCTGATATGCATTAGGACAACAGCGTCACCCAATACCATGCACTGGGACAACAGCGTCACCCAATACTATGCACTGGGACAACAGTGTCACCTGATTCCGTAGCACTGGGACAACAGTGTTGTTAGCTGATTCCGTAGCATTTGAAGACCTTCCAGTGTGCGAGTCTGAAGAGCAGGCACTGAGTGTGGGGGGCAGGGACCATGAATCGCCCAGAGGAGTGCGGGGTCCTGGACGCCGTGTGTGTCGTAGCGGAGTCCTGAGTCCTGCTGAGATGTGTTCTTTTCAGGCATTAATCCTGTCTTGGATATGTGCAGAAGTGTAGTGACAGATCTGTGTCAGTTATAAGTAAAAATGTTTCAAGTGAGGCGAATCTGCGTGGAGCAGTGTCCGTGCCGTGTGGGGTAGCCTGGCCCTCATTTTGAACAAATGCACCCTGCAGGCTACAGCTGTGTTAAAACCTAGTCACCCGTGTGCCTTGCGCCCTCTGTTCAGGGTTATGAAGACTGGCTTCGCCATAAAGCAGACAACGCCATGAACCAGTGTCCAGTCCATTTCATTCAGCACAGCAAGCTTGTTCGGAAGCAGAGTCGGAAGCTGCGGGTAAGCATGGCTGCCAGCTTTGGTTCTGAACGTCTGCGGGTAAGCATGGCTGCCAGCTTTGGTTCTGAACGTCTACGGGTAAGCATGGCTGCCAGCTTTGGTTCTGAACGTCTGCGGTAAGCATGGCTGCCAGCTTTGGTTCTGAATGTCTACGGGTAAGCATGGCTGCCAGCTTTGGTTCTGAACGTTGTGCTCTGGGCGTTTTCCTTGAAAGCCTTCGCTGCTGCAGCTCCGGCTGTGGGCTGTCTATACCCACAGCTTGGAGCCGAGGCCCCGTCCACGATCTTGAGTGTGACAGTTTTGTCTCCTCTGTACAGCTGCCCGTGTTCTCAGATGAATGTTTATTCAAAAGAGTTAGAGAGAGAGGGAGAGACAGAGATCTTCCATTTGCTGGGTCACTCCCCATATGGCTGCAATGGCCAGCCCTGAGCCAAGCCGGAGCCAGGAGCCAGCAGCCTCCTCCAGGCCTCCCACAAGGGTATCCGGGGCTCAGGCACTTGGGCCATCCTCCACTGCTTTCCCAGGCTGTTAGCAGGGAGTGGGATTGGCAGTGGAGCAGCCGGGACATGAACCAGTGCCCCCGTGGGATGCTGGTGTCGTGGGCAGCAGCTTACCTGCCACACCACGATGCCGGCCCAGTCGTGCCTTCCTTAGAGCAGAGTGCTGAGCACTCTGTCTCCATGGGCAATGGCCTGGTCCCCCGGGACTGCAGGCGCCTGCTGCAGAAGGGCGGCCTGGGTTTGCTTCTTGAGGTGGCATCGCAAGGGATCTCGGCACACACTCCGGAGTCTGCTCCTCTACCCCCGGGCCACTGTCCATCGTGGCATAACCAGGATCTCACAACCTCTACCCCTGGGCCGCTGTCCATCAGCACATAACCAGGATCTCGCAGCCTCTATCCCCGGGCCGCTGTCCATTGGCACATAACCAGGATCTCGCAGCCTCTACCCCTGGGCCGCTGTCCATCGGCACATAACCAGGATCTCACAGCCTCTACCCCCGGGCCGCTGTCCATCGGCACATAACCAGGATCTCACAGCCTCTACCCCCGGGCCGCTGTCCATCGTGGCATAACCAGGATCTCGCAGCCCCTACCCTCAGGCCACTGTCCATCGGCACATAACCAGGATCTCGCAGCCTCTACCCCCGGGCCGCTGTCCATCGTGGCATAACCAGGATCTTGCATGTTCTCCACCCTTTGTCTCAGCACTGTGCTCTTGGTGGCCTTTGCTTAGCCTGGAGCCCAGAGATTTTTCTGCTATGATTTTCTGAAAGTTTTGCATTTTTCTGTTTTACGTGTAAGCTTGTGACTGGTTCTGACTTAGTCTCTGTCCACGGGGTGAGCCTTGGTCAGAGATCACCCCTCTGGACAGCCATTCGCCCCAGCATCCTTCGTTAAATTGGTTTTTGTGCCACCATCAGGTCAGGTCTGTTCTGGGTTCTGACTGCTCAGCTGGTCTGCACCCCAGCCCCACCCGCCCCATGCCGGCAGCTGCCTGGCCAGCCCCCACGGGGATGGACGTCATTCCCACCTGCCTGTGTGATCTCGGCAGTGCCAGCTTCTGCCCCTTCCACGTGCACCCGCGTCTGTGAAGCCCCCTGCTGGGGCTGTGACAGGGCTGTCACTGAGCACAGAGGCCACTTACAGGGGGACCCCTGTGGGTTCAGTGTTCACAGAGATGCGTGTGAGCTGTGCCTCCCGTGTGCTGTACAGGGGCCCCGTGTGCTGTGTGGGCGGAAGCAGGGCATGTGTCCCCAGGAGCCCTGACCAGGCGGTGGGTGTGTGGGGATCTCTTCCCCTCCAAACACACGTCTGTGCACCGTTGGGAGAGGACCCTCCAGTTGTGTCGGAGACGCCCTCCTTGCTGACGGGATCTGGCAGGTGCAAATCAGGGCGGCCTGTGTTGAAACGCTCGCCTGACACACACTGTCAGTTTGAGAACTTCCCGCTGCCGTGCCGTGCACGGGGTCTGGTGGCCGATGTCTGCACGTTGGCAGAGTTCTGAGATGGCTGAGGAAGCACCTTCCGAGGCGTCCTTCCCGCACAGCCACTGGCGTGGACCACTGGGACTCGTGCTGCTTGGTCCTCGGTTCAGGACGCTTGCCCATGGCTTCACTGCAGTGGGCTGTCAGCCCCGCGTTGGCGCCGCCCAGCCCTGGGCAGGTCTGTGCAGGCCCCTTGTCAGACCCACATGCACGGGGCTTCCTGGGCGAGCACCGTGGTGGGCCCTGAATCAGACGGGATGCGTGGAGGCGCGGTTCTCACTGGCGCTCCTGTGGTCTGTGCTGTAGGTGGGGGACATCGTCATGGTCAAGGAGGACGAGACGTTTCCCTGTGACCTGATCTTCCTGTCCAGCAACCGGGCCGACGGCACCTGCCACGTCACCACGGCCAGCTTGGACGGCGAGTCCAGCCACAAGGTACCGTGCCTCACTTCCGGGGTTCCAGCCGTGTCACCCATGCACCTTCACGCGAGGCGTAGCTGTGTGGCCTGAGAGTGTCTGGCTGCAGTGGTTACCATGGAAACCTGGGGAGCAAGGTCTTCCCCACCTTTTACCTGCTGCCCCTCAGGTCTGTGACCTTAGACCACCTTGGGTTACGGCTTGCCTCCCCGGAGCCGAGTCATTTAGGGTCCACGGATTGGTTATTGGAATGCTAACGGCTGGTGTTTCGTGAGTCAGCGTGAGTGTCCCCACCTGCCACACCCAGGTCATACGTGTGTCTTCGGCGAGTGTCTTTTTGTTAACAGTGTCTTAATGAGGATTTGGAGTTAATTCTTCTGCTCTGTAAGGAGTCCTGAACTGGAAGGTGATGCTGTAGAAGTTATAATTAGCAATCGTAAAAGAAACACATGGCACCACTGGTTTTTAAATTTTTAATTTTTATGAAGTAAAATTTTCCAGGGACGTGATGGACATGAGCAAGGCTGGGGGGCTTCAGCTGTGTCCATGACATTAATTTACAAAGCCACCACTGAGCAGTGAGCGTCCCAGTCCACCCTGGGTTGGGAGCTTTCTCCCCGAAGGCCCCCGAGCTTGCCAGTGTCATGAGTGATTTGTGACGTCACCGCCTGTAGCCCTGTGGGCTTCACATCTCCCGTGTGGCACCTCCCTGTCCCGGGAGAACTCGTGGGCAGCAGCCCTTCTGGGGAGTGGGGGTCCTTGGGTGACTCGGGACCTGTCGTGAGCTGGAGCCTGGGAGGAGGTCAAGGGCCCAGCTGCCCAGGCCTCCGTGGGCAGTGCTGCCCTCAGGACACTGTCCTGTGACCAAAGGCAGCTGGGCAGGCTCAGACACGAGTGATGGGCGCTGTGTGCCTCTAGGTGTGTCCCTCCGTCCGGATGAGGGGGTGGCCGCTGCCCTGGTCCAGGCCAGAGGACAGTGGGATGGGCATGCCTGGACTCCGTTTTCATGGTGTGTTCTCGGCCGTGCTTCTCTGCGCCGGGTTTGGCTCGGGGGACTGGAGTTGTGTGAACCCCGTTCTGAAGGCCAGAGTAGAGTGTGGGAGGGGTCCTGACTGGTCACGCAGCTGTGGGTGCCTTTACCCTCTCCGGACTTCACGTCTGTGATATAGGGCAGGTCTGTCAGGGCTCCAGTGGGGATACGATTAGGGCTCCCCCAAGGTGCTGTGACGCGGTGAGCGCCTGGGTGCTCTGCGTGGTGGTGGTGATGGTGCAGTGGCCACACCCCCCTTGTTCTGGCCCCACACCCACCAAGCCCTGCTCAGGTGCTCCCAGGCTCGCGGTGTCTACAAGGGGCCCCCGGGCAGCAGGGTGAAGGCAGGTGAGCGCCGTGTATGCACACGCCAGCAGCTAAGGGCAAGTGCAGCGGGTGGCCGATTCACAGTACCTGCCCCCGCTGCCGTGACCTGCAGGGCAGTGTGAGAGGACCTGAGGGTGCAGCTCCTGCACCTGAGCTGAGTGGCAGCCGCTGCGATGGGGACAGGTCCAGTGTAGGTTCCAGAGCGCCCGGCGCGGCCGTGCATCCAGGTGGTCTGCAGGGGAAGACTGAGGAGGGAGCGTGAAATCTCCTGGCACCCTGCTGTGCCACGTTACCACCGCCTTGTCCCTGGTGAGCCAGGCCCGTGTGTGAGCAGCCCTACTGTGTGTGTGCTCCCGGGTGAGCCAGGCCCGTGTGTGAGCAGCCCTACTGTGTGTGTTCTCCCTGGGGAGCCAGGCCCATGTGTGAGCAGCCCTACTGTGCGTCTTGTCCCGGGTGAACCAGGCCCGTGTGTGAGCAGCCCTACTGTGCGTCTTGCCCCACATGAGCCAGGCCCATGTGTGAGCAGCCCTACTGTGCACGTGAGCCAGGTTTGTCAGTGAGCACCGCAGTGGAGCCCAGTGCCATGCTGGTGCGGGTGGCAGGGCCACTCTCACGCTCCGTGTCATTTGCAGACTCACTACGCCGTCCAGGACACGAAGGGGTTCCGCACGGAGGAGGAGATCGGGGGGCTGCAGGCTACCATCGAGTGTGAGCAGCCCCAGCCTGACCTCTACAAGTAAGCGGGGTCCTGGGTCGCCTCTCGTGCCAGCCTGGCCTTGTGGTTGTTGGGAGGGCACGCATGTCACTGCTCCCGAACACGCTAGGCCAGGTCAGACATGTGCAGCCTGCAGATGTGCA